ACACATCTCTTGTGTTCTGTAACCCGTTGCTTTTGAATTGCTTGTATGAATACATTCCTTCATTTAACTGTTAGATATGAAATATGCAGGTCATTGCTGTTTAATCAAAATCGTATTATTGTGTCAAATAAGTGTTGAAGTTGAGAGTAGTAGGGTCGCTGGTTCGAACCCCAGCGGTGGCAGGGTATTCTTCATTACTCCTTCCTATTACCCCAGCAATGGACAAGTAAATGACTTGATTCACTTAACACGAGGTTATAAAGTGACATATTTTATTGACTTTTTCAGAACAAATTACAAAATAGTGTTTGCACGCTCAATACCCACTACGAGTGCAAGAAAGATAATTAATGAATGGTTGTTACAATAGTACGTATCATCTTTGATATCATAGTCACCCACTGGTGCAACCTGGGTTACACAAATTAGCGCAATAACAACCATTGTTATAATCCAGTTTCATCGTTTTGTTGTGATAATGTCACTTTGTGTGAAAATGGTAATTATCAATTGATATTCGAACAGACATCCGGTTGCAATATCCAATGCGAAGCTTTGCTCTATGCGCTCTCATATTGCTATAAATATTTCATGTGTTTTTTTACACGAAATTTAACGAAATATGCCGATTTTCATGTAAATTTATCGAAACTGTTTATATTATACAATTACTGAATTTAAAAAAAATGATACGACACTTTGTTAACCAGAGAAATTTGATACTTTCCGAGGTCACAAACCAAGGAAATAAACACCTTTTAAAGCCAATGAATCCACGCCGTATCAACTTGAACAAAAGCAATACCTGTTTTGTTATGACATGGCATTGCAGTGGTCCATATCATAACAACAAATAATGTTTTGTTTTGTCGAGATTATCAATTTGCGATGATAACCTCACGTCATGGAAATTCCCTGTTACTATTTTTAAACTACATTGTAAACTATCAATTTGCATTGATAACCTCTCGTGCAGGCTAGTTTTAGGTTAAATTGTGTTTTGTCGATATTGTGGGAGATCTCATGGCTTGGTACCGAAAGGTCAATAAAATCCAGTTCTCTTTTGAATGTTAACTAATAGCTTGATAGGTTGTAGGAGCACGATTTCTGAAAAATGCACAAAAACAATGGAAAGTAGGATTTGTAGTTTAACCTTGTTTTCATTCGGATTTACTAAGATTTACATTGCGAGGTCGTGGATGATGCAGAAGAAACTCCTCCTTCTGGAACACCTGGTCGTTGTACTTTTTTCAAAGCTTTCGCTTGTTAATATTTTGAAAGTTTTTATCGGTGTTGAGTTTGAATTAGGATACCGTTGACTTCTCATGATATATTTTGTGGTTATTCTTAATGAAAGCTTCTTCATGCCGCAAACAAAACAAACGTAAGTATAATACTACATATCGCTATATACTTTAGATTTCAAACCTGTTCAGGTTTTTTCCCTAATTCATGTCCAACATATCTATATGTATACCAAATGAACACGATACGACCCTACCTCAGTACATTTTATTATAAACTTATTGTTGTCATATAGCGTCTTCCTCTGTGTGTAATATATTTGCAAACATACTGAACTGTGGGCAGGATTGCAGTCAAAGCGATCAGGTCATTTTTTATGACTCTGTGTCATGTTTTTCGATATTGAGACAATAATGAATGTTGAATGTTAAAGGCATATATATTCATTATCTTAAGATAGGGTAATGAATCTGTTTATTTTGTACATCATTATTTTCTTTAAGTTACAAAGCTTACCGAAAACCCGATGATATGTAAACACGATATCGTTTAGTAACGCTGATACAGGTTTACAGAGTTATGTACCTGGGTTTGCTTATAAAGTGTCTTTAAAGAGATATGAAACAACATCTCAGAATTCAATGGTTTTCCTTATTTCCTTTCACAGGTAGAGCTTAAAACGTTTGATGTTATATAGAGTGACCTGTTGTGTCAATTCTCATCCATTCTCGCTCGGAATGAACACCTCCATTTATGTGTAATATCGCCCTACATCATTAGGGTTTAATTCTCTAATGGTACACAGCGTCGACACTACTCAAAATTAGAATGTATCCATTTCTAAAGATGATCTGAAAACTAGAACAATTACATAGCAATAACGATATAAAAGACACTTAGAGCAAACACGAATACTAATCGATGGTAACACCACAAGTCAGGTAGTCACGCCATAGTGTTTCTCTTAAAATACGACCAAGCAGAGAATATCAGGTTTTTGGGTTAAAATATCATTCAATAAAACGTTCAAATTTTGTGAAACAAACTTAAAACAATATAATTATCCATTCGAGAAAGACAGAAAATGTGATTTTTTGAGTTCGAACTCGATATAATAGCTCGATAACGTATAGCAATTGACAGGTTTTTACTTAACACAGGCTTAAAAAGATTTTTGTTACTCTCCAACTGTCATCAGCACTGGGATTTGATCAGTGTAGGGTATTCTATAACGATTGTATATTGGTAGCTTGAGTATAAGCCTTTGTAACAGATAAACTCCGGATTCGTGTAAAATATACCTAGTATTATCACAGGTAAAATTTTGTAAATCTTGTTATAATTGATCAGGCTTTGTCTATCAATAGTTAAAGACAATACTTTGTCATTTCTGGTTTCAATGATTTAGATAAGTCAATCGTTGTACCATATATTTCAATTGGTATTTTTTTTTCTTATAACAATTAGCCCATTCCATTACACGGAGAGAATTGGTCGATATTTGTTTTGATGAATATAAATGGCGAAGCTACCTTCTATACAAGCCTGGTGATTGGAGATTTTACAAAACTAGCCTAGGATTCAGTTTGATTGAGATTATAGTTAAGTGTTTTCATATCCTGATGCGAAGTTTGAATTGTTTGATGCTCGTAAATATACCTAGTTGTTCCGGTTCTGCTAACCTTCTTCTCGTTTGAAAAAAGTAGCATTTTTATTTGGTTTGCTCAAAATTTGTATGGCGGGTGTCGGCGATGAAGGCTACCCTTCCGGAACTCATGGGTTTCTTTTCAATAAAAAGATATTTTTTTGAGAAATATCAGATTAAACCTTCCTTTAGTTAATTGTTTGCTCAGGATTCATCAAATAAGAGTTTGAATTAAAATTTTATAGACATTTTGGTATCATATTTGTTGCTAATATCTGTCAAGCAAGATTTTATACATCGTTGATTGGTTAAATCTTTTAAAGAAATTTGATATCATGAATAATCACCCGGTGTTAATCAAAGAGATCATTAATATATACACACACATATATATATACTTAAACCGAATTGCAACATCACAGAGATATGTAATGAAGGAATGGATATATAACGAAAAAGAAAAAAATATATATATATATATATATATATATATATATAAATACTTTAAAAGAACAATAAATTGATTTGCCGCTGAATTTCATCTTTAAAACCACAATAAATTTGTGAGTTTGAAGATATCGGTGATCAGATAGGGAACTCTGACAATCTCATCACAATATCATATGAAAAGGAAAATTGCCTAGTGGGGGATCACAAGTGTTCGGTTTTTAAATAATTCCCTACCAGCCAGTCCCAAGTACTGACTTCTCTTTGTTATCGAGCTAGATTGTATACCCCTTAATGTATTATATTTCGGTGTACTTTCACTTTCGTTTAAGGTTCCAACAAGGATTTGGCGAGTATGAAATTTCAAAACTGATATCAAGGTTATCGACATTTTTATTTCGGGATCACGCAGAGGTGAACTTTTTCCTCATATTTTCCCGTCTTTATAGCTCAAACAATCGGTTTCATTATTCGTCTGTAATGTCGTTTTGCTGTATAAAATGACGTCATGACCGAGTTTACTTTGGTGATATTTCAAAAATAAAATCGTGTTCGGACCATCCTCAAAAAGTACGGAATACAGATTCATATTTTTTTTTTTTTTTTGCAAATTCGGGGACGATTTTGTACTGTGTGATGTCAAGAACATTTCAAGATAGCGGTCGTGTAGGATGAAAAGAATCACAAATACTGAAAATTTCATCACATTTTCAAGATATCCACACACGCAATCTGTGATAATTTAGACAAAAGTCATTTTTTCTTTAGAATTCGTCATATACAATTTTGAAAATATTAGTCTAATGGGTTTTTCCCATATGTGAGCATGATATTTTGTAAACATTTCAACAGGTTATAAGATAACTATGCGTTGTAAATGTTGTATAAGGAATTTGTTTCTATGTCTTAGTAAATTTAAGCTGACAATACTTTGTATATCTGGCGATGCCTTAGGTAACATTCTGTCCAGCGTTCAGGTAGAATTGAGCCGACAGAGTCAGTTTTTGATTGGAAAAATTTCAAAGGGACGAACGAGTCCCGGCGTTCCATTGATTTGCATACATAGCCTCATGAATGCCATTTTTTCTAGTCTTCGTTACTTAAAGTATTTAGTTGGAATTCCTGACAACGAACAATACTGTATCTTGTTGTCCTATTTCCCCGTATTTCTCGCTGTGTTACCATGTGTCTTCCATGTGTCTCCATTTCTCCCTGAAGGGCACCTTGAATCGTATTTCAAACCAATTGCAATTCAATATTGCAGCTCACTTCATTAGGCATGCACCTGGAGTATCACTGTTTTTATTGATCCGGTGAAACCCAATAAATGAATGTTATAGTATTATCAACACTATGGTATATGTTTATATTGATGATGTCAGGGTTAACAGAACCTCCAATGATACATGTACTCTTATCATTTTGCTCTCTTCGTAAAGCCAAAAAGACACCTGGTGTGTCTGTCGCCAGACATATCTATAACTGTGGCGTTATATTTCCGGAATTGGAACATCGGTGTACAAAGACCTTTTTGTGAAATAGAATAGCTGTGTAAAACTTATCCAGTACAATGGAAATATATGTATCCTATTTGCATATATCTGATATATATACCTGACTTTTTAATGTGTTTTTGCCATCAGTTGTAACCATTTTCCTAGCGATGACGTGGGATCAGTGTATGGAGCTATGTGTTTGGACATTTGTTCTCTCGATTTTTGCTGTCTCAGGACGGTCAGTAACTCGGATCGGTAAGTACACATTGTAATTCAAATTCGTTCGCACCTACATTTATATGCATATAAACACATTTACAAATAATTTATTTGAAACAGGTGTATGTTTTATACATTTACCGTATAACGGGTATTTTTTCACTAATGTCTAAATTTCGTTTTCTTCTTTTTGAAATAAGTGTACATGGCGAATATTGAACTGACATTCTAATTCTTACATTTCCATAGCCTTTTCTTCAATGGCGAAAATATATTTTGGCTAAAATTAGATATTCGATTTTGACCCCCCTATTGCGATGATTTAGAATGGTGAAATAGATATGTCTGGCAGTATTGTACACTTACATATGTCTTTGATTTTGAAAAAAAGCATGGCTGAGACTAGATTTAATAAGGAATGCTGTTTTGGATGACATTTTAAGTCATTTTTTCTCTACCTTTGTTTACACATGTACAAAATGTAACGAATCCTACACCCGATATCAGCCTCAATGATTTCCATTTCTTTCCAATTTAAGGATATTAACGTTCTTACTTCCGGTTATTCTAATACATTGTTTGATACAAACGCATTATTTGACAAATTAACGAAAATTAGAAATCTTCTGAAAAGAAAAACAAACCCTCTTGATATGTCGAGATCTTCAATCGGTCGTGTTGTCATTCATAGGCAGTCTGGAAGCATCTTGTTTCCTTCGTATTATCTTTGTGAGGCAAAAATACCTGATGGTACCGATGGTCACACGAAGTAAAACATGAAGATGACGCGATTTGACAAGATACTTTCACGATGGCCTTTCGAAGTGCAATATTGACAAACAAATTCAACATGAAAATGGACCCCCGCAATGTTTTTCGCCATTTTTTTTGGCATGTCAGTATTTCGAGGGTCCTCTGTGTAGTTTGAGTTTCACGTTTACTTGTTTGTAGTAACCACTGACCTACCGGAAACGTTTAAAGGATTTTCCTACTTTGTCTCGCCAACGATCGTAGAGGCATGCCCACATAGAATAAATGCCAACCGCTGTCATATTAATACCATCACACAATCTCTTGAACATTTCTCAGATAAGTTAATGTTTACGACTTCTGTATAAATAAATTTTCCTTAAGCTGCGTATATTGGGTTTTTTAAAACATATTTTAACGGCATATTTTATATCGAAGGAATAAGTCAGAAAGCGTTACCAATTCATGCAATTTGGATATGATTTCTTTCGCAGGATATCATTATGTACTAACGATTTTATTTATGCGATAATCTAAAACTTCCTACTGTTACGTTCACATTAAATATTGAAATCGACCTGTATCTGTATTCTACCCTGGAATCGATTTGACGATGACGAAATAGTTTCACAGGACAAGATAAAATGTCTCGTTCATGATGTTTCCATTTGAAATGCGGTAAACGCTCATCAATATCAAAGGGACGAGATCACTAGATATCCAGTACATTATTCTGTGGATAATACAGACTAGAAATCTGTTCTACGACAGGGCACCCACACAACAGGGATTAACCACACTACATTAAATGGATGAAAAGCTGGATCGACTCAATACAGTGGTTCTGAAATGTTTTATTTACAAAACGACTCGGTAGAAGAATACCTTTATGATTGTATTAAGTACTATAAATCCCACAAGCACTCTGCTTCATTTGGACCCCAGAAACATGCAGGCTATGAGTCCCTTTGTATATTCGTTTCTGATTCCAGGTACATCTACGCTTGGAACATTACACATAATATACTTAATCTGTAATTAAATTCCGTGGGGCAAAAGATTGAATTATAAAACAAAAAGGCGAGTGAAGAAAATCGAAATTGAAAGAAAATAAAGTTTTAAAGTCTAGATTGGGATATGTATTTGCCCCTATTTCAATAAATATATTTATTTTACAAAAAATGCGAAACAATCTATTAGCTTAAAACAATCACTCTTGTTGGCCCCGATGGAAGCGCGTGGGGAGGAAACCTAAGTATCCGTGGAAAATCCACGTCCGTTCCGGGAATCCAACCCCGGACAGTTAGGTGAAAGGCTGACACTTAACCACTGTGCTACCCAATATATTTGGTATTTTCTTTTTTTATTTGATAATTCTAAAAGACCGTCAAGTACATGTTTATATTCTGAACTGTTTGAATGAAATCAAACATGGCATGCAGGTTACGGCAAACATTGGAAATTAAAAGTCCACCAGCATTGTCTACCGCGATAAACACCCATACTATCGGCAGACTCTTTAACACAGGTTGGATACGAAGCAAACATGTTATAAGCAATCTCTGACACACACTAATACAACAAGTTCTGATACCTTAAGCTTATAACAAATGCATGTATATGTATTATTTGATATTTTATGTGCTGTGTCTGGTTAAGAAGGTTCGACACATGAAGTACCTGTGCTGAGGGCAAACGTGACGTACACACACACGACACATGCGTTACCAGGGTACTAGTTCTATGTAGAATTTATGAATTGACTTCGGGCATATTGTATCTTGATTAAGTCTCTCTAATTTATTGAAAGCGCTGTGCCATGATCAATCATGTAAAACCGTTTTGCGATAATTATTCAGAATGTGGTCTTCATTTCTGTAGAGGATAGCATAGCCACCGGGATATTATAGTCTTAAATACTTGTTCTAACGACAGATTGGACTGAACCCAAAAACAACATTGTATCGCCTGAAATATTTCAGTACTTTTTTAAAGAATTTTTGTTCCAACATTTGAATCCATCTCTGGAATATAAACGTGTTTTAAAACAAATACCAACATGTCAACACAATCATAATACAAATTCAAATTCAATAATTACAATATTAAAAGGCTGCTGTAGAAGAAATCAATTAATCTATTATTTGTTTAAAAAAACCCTTAAGTAATATACAAGTTTCAGGGTACTTACCACAAAATACATATTTTTTCCAATATCTACGGAAAATAGAATACATTCTTATTCCTTATTTAGGCGTGTTGGATAATCTCTCCGACTACCAACCAACGTATTCGTTACGTCTCACGAGTACTCAACCGGAAGTCGCTGAGGTATTGATCACGTGGGACAACGTCCAAATGAACGAGCTCTTTCAGGTTCATCAGAAAGGTCAGCACCTCTTTTAACTGCATGCTTTTGTTGCTTTGTTCAACTAATCAGTATACTATTCTAAAGGACATTTCCTACCACAATATTTATTTGGAAACGCTTTCATGTCGCCAAGTTTTGTTACCCATTTCGAATACAGATACAAAATCACCTGCCCATTGGATTTGTCTGTGTGGTTACTTCAAAACTTACACTTGCCACCAAGTCATACAATTACTTCGAGGCCATACCAAAACATTTTCTTTCGTGTATTCTGTCAAGGAACCACATACAAAATCACCATTTGAAAAAAAACCCCAACTAAACGAACCCCCAAACTGCATAATTTTCATCAGGTACATAATAATTATCACTTATCCGATTTGAGCAGTTGCAGCCACCTAACATTTGTCTTTTGGCGCCTTTCTGTCACGTTTTGTTTCTAATCAATGGTGACATCGAATTTTTCCTTCATCAAACGACTTCAATATGTGAAATTACAAATTACTATGGTGGAGGTGGCGCACGTTCTAAGCATAGGAAATTATTCTTTGTAGTTTCAGGAATTCGTAACAACAGTTTGGACATATTGCTGATCTGCCAGAATGGACTTAGTATTTGGGACGCGATGATTTTTAATCGGTCTTCTAGAATGATAAGTGTCTATTCACCGGAAACATTCTTCTTGCATACCGGAAGTGCCGACACACATCAAGAGTCTTCTGCTTTAGTATTCGAAGCAAATATTCTGAAGGTGGATGTCAATCATTCAAAGATCTCATCGGAAGTATATACGTCATCAGTCTTGGAAACGACACAGAATATCTCGATATCTCTTCAGTGGAAGTCTGTTGCCATTATCTACGATGACGATGCGGGTGAGTTATTGACAGTGGTGAGCAGTGCAACAATCCTTTTGCATAGTTTTGCTGAGGAAATAGACTTGATAGAAGACAAACAGAAACTTTAGCCAATTTTTTCACCGTTTTGTTATTCTGATCAGAACTGGGGAGGTATTTTTTCAATAGCAAATATCTGTAAACTTTACACTGTAAAGCTGTGGCCAATAGAACCAAAGGAATTTGTAACCAAATCCACTGATTTGGAGAGATAAAATGTCGTCTGCTTACAGCGGGCGCGTTCGATAGCTAAATCTCCCACTTGTCTCGTTTTCTTAAAATTGTCGGTGTGTTTGTTAACAAGTTCCTCCCACCCCTCGCCTGATTGGCTGAGTGGAATTACCCAAGTGCAGGAGAACGTATTTCAGTGCCTTAGGTGTGGATCAGTTCTGCAGTTGTATTTAAAAAACGAAACAAAGTCGAAGCAAATGTGGGAATACGGTCTTTTTGATTAGATACTTTTTTTTATTTACAAAATTGATGAAATAGATGTTTATTGATAGAGAGTAGATATATTCTGGGCAGCTAAGTCTATATTGTCGTTAGCTCTTTCCTCTCGAGAATCAGTCCTGGAAACCAGACATTGCTCTATCCGTCTGGCCCATACTTTAAGTGTATAATCAGGTGAAATTAGTTTGATTTCTTCTTTTAAATACTGTATAAAATGTAGGCGAATTTTAACGATTCATTTTTTTGTAGCGTCCATGGTTGAGAAGCTGACTATTTTATTGAACAGAGAGGGCATGTTTGTGATGTCATATCCGGAACGTGACGTCAGTTTGGTTCGTTCTAACAACCGGACATTGCTTGATGATATTTATGAAAACTTCGATGAGAAAGGTGTAAACATCACCGTCATCTGTCATGTTAAGTGTGTCCAGCGCGTCCTAAACCAGGTAACACATTAAGTCTATATGGTTGTTTATATGATTTGTTTATTTGTTTATTTTATTTTATTTTCTTGTGGTACTGTGTACAGAAACATGGCGTTATTGTCATTTTTTATGATATGCTTTGTTTAATGAATTGCACCACTTTTTTCAGGCAAATTTATTTGATCACATGCCGAATCACAAGCACCAAACTGCAATGCGACAAAGGTCCAGATGGTTTATCATCACAAGCGCACCTGACCTTGACCGAGACGTTGGAGCCTACTGTTATGATCTTGATAATGTGGCTGTGTTTAATCTTCATCAGAAAGAAGAAGAAGAAGTTGATGATAACGTAAGATCTCTGCTATTCTGTAATATTGTAATAAGAACATAACGTAAAACACCACCTTACAGAAGAGAGAGAGAGAGAGAGAGAGAGAGAGAGAGAGAGAGAGAGAGAGAGAGAGAGAGAGAGAGAGAGAGAGAGAGAGAGAGAGAGAGAGAGAGAGAGAGAGAGAGAGAGAGAGAGGAGAGAGAGAGTGTGTGTGTGTGTGTGTGTGTGTGTGTGTGTGTAGGGGAAAGAAAATATCGAGATCCCATATATTATAAAGGGACTGTACTTCTTCAAGGAACCTGCTTTTAGTCGCTTCTTTGAACATGCACTGGAATGATATCGATGTCCCCTGAACATAAGGCATCAAGGAAACCAACCCCAACGTGTCAGGGATGCCCAACAATTAGACGTCTCTTCTGAAATTAAGTGAGATACAGGAGGCATACAATTTCTCTGTCACAAACCTTATTACTGGTATATCAATATCGGATTGATGGGTTACTACAAACAGATGCATCATATATTGCTATACTAGATAAAGAGAGGTCGCAGTAGTTTTTTTCTCACTAAGATTAGATCGCCGACGATCGTGTTTTTTAAGTTGATGTTGTACCCCAGTCCTACCCCAGCAGATCCGGATAGAATGCGGCGGCCTTCCACATGTTGTTCAGAAGGATAACCACCAGTTATTACAGGGAAGCCGCATCTGTTGGTTAACAGGGCGATATACCCAGCAAACAAGAGAGCAGATCTTTCACTGTTTTCTAATTCAAATATGGACAAGATCTTTGCAAAATGTGTCTACTAAAATTGCTCCATGAGGAGAGTTGTTTTAAGTTTTATTGATAAACAATATTTGGTTGCTATCAATTTTCGCTTGTCTTTCAACAGCCGAAGACTCCTTCCCCTCTCGACATTGATAGTCTGTACAATATTCCATCTGCTACGATAGCCGCCTCTACAGGCGGGATCAACGTTACACTATCCCAGCATACATTCGGCAGAGTTATCGAGGTAACAGCTTTTGTTCCTTTTCAATGTGGTATCTGTCTGTCTGTCTGTCCGTTCATATTTTCCGTGAGATAAAGAAAAACTACACTTTTCGATTTTTACAGTTATACAGTACTTTCATCTCCTTTGCTTTGTCTTTGTACACATAAATACAACCTGCTTGTATCTGGGCTGCTGACAGAGATGTATAAAAATCATTTCTGTTTTATAACCAAACTCGAAACTTGTGCTGATTCGAAAGCCTTCTTTATGCTGGCATCATTTAATAATTCATGTATCAGAAAACTACGGAAGAGCATTAAGGCCACGCGGAGAAAAAATAAGTTCGTATTTTCGTGTTAGTAACTCAAAATTTCGAATTAATAAGTCGAAATTTCTAATAGATTACTCGAAATTTCGAGTTTTAAAATCGAAATTTCGAGTTACTAACATGAAATTATTTTTACTCAGCGTGTCCCTAATGCTCTGCCGTAGAAAACAGTATGATATACAATTTAGTAATTCACGGCTCGTTTTGGCATATTTTATGTAAATTTGTGCATTATGAGACCGATATATGACAAAGTTGATACAGATGATCAATAGAATATGTTACAGGTATATTGTCCAGATCATGTTATCTAAAGGCTGATATTCTTTGTTTAAAAATTACCATTTGAGACGGGAGAGTAACAAATTGATTCCAATATAAAAAAAAAACAATGTAAATCGATTTTTTAACATGCATATGGCTATTAAACTATTTTTATACATGACTGTATATAAATAATTTAAAAGAGGCCTTTATCGCACGCCTGTCATGCCACATATATAGAGACGATTTCTAATATTTTGATTTTTTATTTCTTTCTTGTTCATCCCAAATCCATTCTTTATTGTTTATAAACTGCAGATGAAATAACGAAACTCATAGTCAAACAGCTATAGAGAAAGATGTTGTTTGATGATTTTAAACTTTAACCCCTTAACTTTAAATAAAGGTCAATGTTATTTATTTGAAGAGACGAAATAGCCTTCATCTTAGCATGCCTCTGACCAAATAGCATGGCAGTTGAATGTATTCAAGTGGTTTCAAACGTTTTACATATTGAACTCTTGTTATTTTTAGAACGAACTTGGTAGCCTTTCATCCCAGTGTGCCACCAGACCAATATTAGATCTCTAGGTATCATGGTTAGTGATCGCCTGAAATACCTCTCTTGTGAATAATATATACCAAAATATTTATTTCTGCTTTGAAGTCTCTTTGAGTAGGGATATATATATTTACATTTGTACTGTAAAACCGGTATGTAAACGAAGTAGAAAAAATTATGCTTAAATATTGAATAAGTTACATACAATGAATGAATCATTATGGCGAGAACAAACACTCGAAATAACCGTTTCACCTGATAACTCCGGGTTCATTGATAAAGTATCAAAACAAGGCAGTAAATGTTTAAATACAGATGGACGAAAAAACACGTACTAATAAGCATGAGAGATTTCCCTGTCTCATGAATAAAAAGTGTTGCTGGTAGCCCAGAATGTGACATTAATAAAAGTAGTACGTAGGATATCGATACATTAACATCTGGTGTTATATTGTCATCAAATCGCTGTCATTTGTTACTGTTAAAAAGGAATTTTAAAAATATTATGTGGTAAAAATGTCCTACTTGTGAAACATATACAGTGGCTTAGATAACAAACATCAAAGCACCCGTAACATAAAATAATTCAGGTAAACGGGACACCGGGGACTGGGAATGGGGTTTAGTTTACAGGTTCGTGACTGTAATACTGGTATGGTGACAAATTCCATGAAATATATCGTATGTTTTGCTTGTAAAATTCATGATTAAATCTGATTTATAACAACTCCATGCCATAATTATAACATTTACGTCCCATACATACATGCGCTACTGTTTTATTCTGATGGATTCAAACCAAATAAAAATTTGTTATGGAATAGCGCACACCGTTATAAATCACATATCTGTTTTGCTTTACTATTGTATAGATACTGTCGTATTGATAAGCAAATGAAAATTAAATTTGTTTTGAAGCAGAATTTGCATTTATTTTGAAAAGCCTGTAAATAAGAAAAAACGGTTTGCTAATAATTTCACGCTCACTGGTTGTGTAAGATTTGTTTAAGCAAAGAATATATATATATTGTCTGAAGCATATTCTATTTCTTTATTGTGAGCGGCAGTGTTTTGAGGTCCGACGTAAAACAATAAACTATGTTGAAGTTTCCTTTATTTTTAATGTCCCTTTTGGTTTTCATATTTCTTGCTTATATTGTTATCTGTTTCCATTCCTATCTTACGCTTCTGATAATTCTGTTCTGTTTAAACAGGCTCTTGTGGATCACGTGAACCAAGTTCCTCTGTGTATTCATTGTGACATTTATACACTCATCTGGGTGAAAAAGGGCGGCAAAATAAGGACCATGAAGGACTCAAGAGACAGACGAAGCTTCCAGCAAGTTGGTCACGTGAACATTTCGGGAGTTCGGACGATGTATGGGGATATCTTCCCCAACGTCAACTTCCATTTCAATGGACGTGAATTTCTGACAACCACAAACTGGGTATGCATGGAATATGTTTGTTAGGACGTGTCAGTTGCTTTCCTTGGTTACTGTAATATATAATTTCATCATCCATTACTTTCTTCACCAAAAATTCGCGAAGATTTGAGCCATAGTAACATGTGATCAGAATAATATGACCTTGACCTTCTGGTTATAGTGGCCGCCATTCATGGACCGACATGTGATCAACGGCACTCGAGTGTATTTTGGTTTCTGTCAAGACATGCTGGATGAATTGGCCAGCCAGCTCAACTTCACGTAAGGGATCTTTGGTGTATCAAAAACGCATATCAATTACAAGATAAATTTGACGAGTCCTAGAAGGACGAAACAGCTGTACGATGTAGCATCACTGATGAGTCCTAGAAAGACGAAACAGCTATATGATGTAGCATCACTGACGAGTCCTAGAAGGACGAAACAGCTGTATGATGTAGCATCACTGATGAGTCCTAGAAAGACGAAACAGCTGTATTATGTAGCATCACTGACGAGTCTTAGAAGGACGATACATTTGTATGATGTAGCATCACTGATGAGTCCTAGAAGGACGAAACAGCTGTATGATGTAGCACCACTGACGAGTCCTAGAAGGACGAAACAGCTGTATAATGTAGTTTAACTTATTGTTTGGCTAAATTGTATCTAACTCTAAATTTGTATTCGCCACGACCATATGGTCACTTTTTGTTTATATTTAAAAGCCTTGCTTTAAATCAATGAGTTACTTTAACACGCTAGGTACATTATGACAGAGCCAGCGGACAAGGAGTGGGGCTTTATGTTAAACAATGGCAGCTGGACGGGAATGATTGGAGAGCTACAAAGAGAGGTATTGATACCATTGTTAACAGTAATAAACTACGTACATACTGGTGACACGTATTATTGATGGTAACATGTAACTGTTGTATAATTTTTCAGTTGAACATGAATATTGCATTTTTCGACCAAACAAGCTAGTAAATCATAAAAAAACTGTTAAAAATAAATAATGCCAAATTGTTACTGAATAGAGATGGCATTATAATTGTTTTTTTCGAAAAGAATGCTTGCTTTGATAAAATATACATTTCTGACAGTATTTATAATCATAAAATCTGAGGGAACTCAAGGGAAATAACTCTTCAATAAATCAGCTGATGTATATCATAGGATTTAAAAATCAGTCGATCATTTCTATTAGATTTTAGAAAATATAACAGTTCTGCTCTATCTTAGGGTCGGTTCTATACGCACAGTTGACAGTTATAACCGGAAATAATTGCTTTGATCTATGAATGTGGTAGTAGGTAGACATGATTAAACGTAAAATTTAACACGAGTAAAATATTTACATCCGAGGTTTGATTGAGCTATAGACGATTTTGTGGATTTCGACTAGGAAATTGCATAAGAGGGTTATATTTTCTTCTTGTTTCACCTTTGTTTGTTCTCCAAACTAAAAACGTATTTTTATTGTTGAAGTCATACAAATGTCTTGTGTATTTACACATGGAAAGGGACGTAACTACTATGAATTATCTCCCTTCGTTTAATGCAGTGAATTTATCCCTGTTTTAGGAGGTGGATATGATGATAGCACCAGCCTCGATCCAGGCAGGACGGGAGATGGTTATGGATTTCACACATCCGTACTACTTCGACACCTCTACTATATTGATGAAACGTCCTGACCCCAACAAAACAAAATGGCGGACTTTAATCGACCCGTTCGCAGACATTGTCCATATGTGTATCTGGATAACACTGTCTCTTGCCGCTCTTATATTAACAGTGCTGGAGCGGATCAATCCTTTCTACAGAAACCAACAGGAGGCCGAAGAGCACAACACGTACCAAAACACATTTTGGTATATGTTTGGAGCGCTTCTAACTCAAGGTAACTCAAATAATTTTAGAACATATTTAAATTTCACTGCCTGACTGCTGTGGGGTTACTTTTTCATTATATTTGCAGAAGTTGAAATATTTAATTTTTTTCTTTGAAACACATGTTCCATTAAAACATTTGTCCTAAGATCTCGCGATATATTGACGACATTTATTTTTTAACTGCAACACACAAGATTCGTAGAAGGGAAATAACTCAATAAGTTCGATAGAAACAGAACTGGGTTAACGCAATCGCCGACGGGTTATTTAATTAACTTGTTATTTTACGATAATGAATGTGTACATGGAAAGTGTATAATTACGTGTTTTAATGATAGATATTCGATTCTATGTATGTATATCAAGTTATAAAAACAACAAACACAATACCAAGACGTCAACAGAACCATACTCTAAACTCAAAATCAATAAAACTAGGCTAAAATGAACACAGGAAAGATGTACACGGAGACTTCCAAAAAACACACGGAAAATAAAGTCAGATGTTCCGGAAGAGTTTGCGTTTTCTGATTCATCGACGACATCCGCTATGTAAACCTTGGACAATTCAAGTCAATGATATCATGTTTTCAAATATAAACACGGTAAATAAAAACGGAACCAATAGGCAAAGCAAAGAGCATCACACATGTCCAGCTTCAAATAACGCACATAAACAGAATATTTCTCATTGGGATCATTATGACGCCCGTGACACTTTCCGATCATTCATCAACTTGTATCTCACGAAACCTTGTGTTGTGTATTTGTTGTTTGATATTGTACAGTTGACAATTATTATAACCTGCTTATTTCTTATTTTTAAGCAGTCATTTATGATGACGGTGTACACGTTATTGATAGACTACTTTTAACTCTTGGTAACACTGAAAGAAACTGTCAGATTATTCCATGTGATGTTGACATAAAGTGGTCAAATTATACAGCTAATTCCTAATTATTTCTTCACTGTGCTGTTTTTTGCCTCTCTTCCATTCATCTGTTGATGGATTCCGTGGATGATTTCATCTGGGTGCTCCATGATTACCTTTTTTCGTCAAGAAGCGGTTATCGGCAAAGAGAATATTTACATGTTAATTAATTGGGGTTGAAAAAGTTAGCGGTGTTGTAGTATGGTAAGAGGAACGCTTAGCCGTCTTGTGTGAGATGCAATCGTAATGTAACGCCTGTGGAGCACATATTCCATTCTTTGTAGTGAATGCCGTTAGATATTCTCTAGACACAGATGCAAGCTTTGTCATTTTTACCGAAGGATTTTTCCTTAAATGAGGTAATAAAACCATTCTTTGGGTAAAAAGCACAAAGCTTAGTGAGTAAAGTGGAAATTCTCATAGTAGAGGTATTGAAACTTAAAAAATCTTGACTGAAATTGCTTCTTGGTGAACTTGGTGCAGAAGTTCTGCGAAAAGTTCCAGTTTTTAAAAGCTACGTAATGATAAATCGACTGTTTGAGGCTATATCAAGTGTGATTGAGTTGTGTTTGCTGGGAATCTTTATATGATTGGCCATTTTAATTGATTACCCTCGTCTGAGCTATATTTCGTGTGTAATAAATCCTTGAGGGTAAGACTGGTTTTGTTTGGCCTTTTATTTGAACATACATTCATCTTTCGGATTAAGGTTCCTGGGATTCGCGGAATGTAACAAAATGAGGGTCGCAGTACAACTTATATATCAATTTCCTAGGTGGAGACCGTTTGCCGGAATCCCAGACCGGACGTACCTTAATCAGTTTCTGGTGGCTTTTCTCGATTGTAATGGTAGCCACATACAGTGGAAATCTCATTGCCTTTCTCACGGTGGCTAAGGACAGGTTGCCTTTCAACTCACTGGCGGAGCTTGTGGCACAATCAGAGTACAGCTGGGGCACACTAGGGGGAACCTACTTCATTACAATGTTCAAGGTAATGAATGGAGCCCCTCAGGGGAACCTACCTGATCACAATGCTGAGATATTGGGGTAACTTGGGGATACCTACTTAATCACAGAAATGTAATGACATTAGCCTGGGGTATAACAAACAGCATGATAGAATAAAAAAACTGGTGAATTATCTTTTTATTTTAACATATTTCCGATGGAACCGTTATAAAAGCATAAGTTTCTGCTTATTTTCTAGACATTTCATCAAATAAAGAACAAGATGTAGAAAAATAATCCTGAATGAATAAAGTTTAAGGAGCTGCAGTGGATATTTTTTTTAACCATTTCTACTACTGAGAAAGATTTTCATGAACAAAATCATATTTGTTTATAATATTTCATGTTGTGATTACTTTTTTGATGATATATCCTCTCCTTGCGATATAATGACAACAACACTCCTAGATAGAGCTTTTGACAAACATTTGCGGTGTTATAAGTAAAACCTAATTATACATGTTTGTTTTACTATTAGGATTCGACTTTACCAGTGTACTTGAAAGTATGGGATGGTGTGGTGAAAGCTAACTTGTCCGACCCCCGGGCTCTCTCGCCCGACCCTGCCATCCATATCCAAAAGATTCTAAAGGAGGATTATGTCTACTTCGGCGATAAAGTCGTGATGGACATGCGCAGAGTGAATGACTGTCGTCTTGTTACAGTGGATGAAGAAATTCCAAATATGTCTTACGGAGTTGGTTTACCAAACCATTCGCCTTACACAAAAATATTTTCAAATAAGTAAGTCCCAGAATATTTTTTTTTCTAAATTCTGGCCCGGATCGTTTCACATAATGGGATACATCTTAAATTTAAAATTGATAACACTAGGATAGAAATTCACTAGAAAACATTCTCGTGGTATCTCCAATAAGCATTTTTAATGCTGTTTTCTTCCCTATACAAACTATCTTCTGATTAAAACAGGAAAGTTAGGCATTTGGCAAGGTCTTTGCTTTGGACCTTGCTTTTATCTTTGAATGAATACAAATCAATTGGTTTAATAACTGCAAATAAACCGAAATCGGTCATCCAGCGAACAACCCTTTGTTCTATGTAGGTGTTTCACCCGACAGTACTTTGAATTCATGTTTAGAACCTTTCTAAATGTCGTTGCTGTCTCCCATTGCTATTTCGGAAGTCATATATATAATGATTCTGTCCCAAAAACTTCAAGCATCAAAGTGAAGCAAATGACTTTAAATATTCTGAAAATCAATTTAACTAACAAAAACTTGTATTTTCTCTTTTTCCAGAATTTTGGAATTACTCGAGAGTGGGATATTTTCAATATACACCCACAGACATTGGCCGAAAGTGAATTATTGTAAAGAGACAGTGCAAGCAAGTGCAAAGCAGATATCACTCATAGATGTACATAGTGCTTTCATTTTGATAGGAATTGGTATAACCTTCGGTTCTGTGGTCCTTCTGGTAGAATTTATTGTAAGATATCGATATAAACTATTTAGTTGTGTAATACCACAAAAGATAAAAGACAAACATGTTGCTAATAAAAAGTTCCGTGATTGTAATGCTGTTTACATCGATGGCAGACAGAAATCGGAACTGGAAGCGTCAGGCAGACGCAAGAGTGTGGCAAAAAGGCGAGGAAGTAACATTGAAAAATTCGAAAAAAGAAGGACTTTCGAAACAAACGTCAATGGAGATTATGGCTAACAGGAAAAGACATTTGTTCTAGTCCTTAGATCTATGTTTGACAAGAAATACGTCATTTTTTAAATTATCATATTTTCAGGTCTATTTTTCAAGTAAAGAAAAAATATTCCCATGTTTTAATCGAGAGTAAGTTGTTAGCTTAGGAGTTGATGCCCCGCCCCCTTATTTCCCCCTTAATATTCATCAGTTTTGACATTGGATGGCCTCTTGTACTGACCATTGAAAGAAAAGTACAATATTTCACATAATTACTTGTTATTAGATATTTATATGGGAAATTGTGTATCTATCTTTCTAATATGAATAATACAATTCTTATTTTTATCACGAGTCCTTATTATGATAAATCACTACTACATTTGTTTGTAAAATATATTAAGATTCACCATACAGTGACAAATTCATCCATATCATTCGAAAATGTAGTATAACATTATTATCTTTTATTGATACTCAATTATCATACTATTACATTTTATTAAAAGACAAAAATATATTTTATTAAAAGTTGCCTTAAAGGTAAAAAAATGCAAAAAATAAGAATAATAATTAAAAATTAATCATTTCCTTTTACACATATTCTGACTCTTGTATTGGAAAAACAAGTAAAGCAACATATGGATAGTTTGCTTTTAACTGACTTTTTAAAATCTTAAAAAAATCCTCACCATTACAAAAGTTTAATACTGGAGTTCTTTTTTACTTCTCAGATGAGTTAATCCGAAAGTGTATTTTTTTTATTGAAGTAATTATGCTTTGACTTGCTTGGAAACTGATAGGTTGTTGGAAAGCTTATCAATTACCGCGGATATTAACTGTGAAGAAATCAATTCTAAAGGCAGTATATCAACTTTGAACGATAGAATGTAAGTCATTATACGAACGAGTTATATTAAATTAAACTTTAAAGAATACGAAACAGTGAAATATTTCAAGGTTGATTTTTAATATTATAAATATATAAACCTTTTTTTAATTAACCAATTAATTGTTACAATAAAAGAAAATTATGAAAAGTTTTATGACATTCTGTTTTTGTTTTGGTGAAGACCAGTGTATTTTTGTTTCTTTGCTAAAATTTTTCATTTCCTCATTAGTTTTGAGTATATAATGGCTTTGTGGCAGATATTAAATATAAGAGCCTATCTATTTATACAAGTCACATTATTTAAAATTGTTTCTACTGCCAGTTCCGTCGGAATACTGCCCAGTGGTGCTAATAACACAAAATTACAATTACTACACAATAACAAGATATCTTTCGAAAAGAAAAAAAATCTGTCAAAATAACCTTGTTGAAGCGATTTTTTTAATTATCAGGAACGGAAAACTTCAATATCACAATTCTCATCAGAATGATCTGTTGATCCTTAAGTTGTTTAAAACCTAAACTGCTACTCTCTCGTATTGAACCGCAATATCATAAATGTTTGTTTCTGCTATACACTCACAAAATAAAAACATACAAAAAATGTTGTGGTTAAATTGTTCCTTTATAAATCATTTGCCTATTTCGGCATGAAATAGTAATTTAAGTGAATGTCATGTTTTAATTCCTACGAATATTGGCACGGTTTAGAATATACACATAAATTTGACGCACTTTTAAAAATCATCACATATCGACATTCCATTTGATCAATTAAGGCTTCCTTCGGTTATATTATGGGTTTCAAAATGTAGACCCTTAACATCACGAACGAGTCATAGAAGGACGAAACAGCTGTATGATACATTTAACTCGTTATCTGGCTCTACTGTTTCTAATTCAAAATTTGTATTGAAAGGTGCTCTTCACATGTATGTCTTTAGCGCAATCTTCTGATAAGCGTAGAGAATATACCGCAGCGTCACTGACATCAGTTAATTGCGGTGCTGAATACCAGCACTGATATATCCTTATTGAAATATACTGTTACCTAGTGTGTCTTTTGTACAATATTTATTGTGGGCATACCTATATTATGACGTGTTATTCTGATCATGTTTTGTTACATAAAGCAAGAAAATGCAGGAAAATAAGCCAATGAGTTGAAAAAAAACTGCTAAAATATTTACTCATTACCAATAATGTAAAGACTTAGAATAAACACATACCGGGATGAAATATTAGATATCAAATATTGATTATTTGATTCTCTCTACCTCTCCCTCCCCACCTCTCTCTCTCTCTCTCTCTCTCTCTCTCTCTCTCTCTCTCTCTCACGCGCAAAATGTGGTTTAGGCGGAATTGGCAAGTTTTACTTCGCTGTGGGGAGACCATTTTCTAGAGGGAAGTAGTCTCTAACTATCAGATATCATTCAGCAGATGTTTAACATTGTCAACATTAATTTTATAAACTGAAAAAATAGTTGATTTATCCATTTATAAACTCTAAAACATTATGAGGAGTCCGAGAATTCTCTCACTATTATATACGGTGTATATCGGAACCTCTCTCCAAGAAATGAGAGAAAACATTATTCCGAAGAGGATTTACAAAAATAAGAATAAGAATAAATTCTCAAAGAGAGGCTGTAAGTGTCTTATTAATATATTTCGATTATGAATGTATAGGGGACAAACATCAAAATAGTAATTAAAGTCTTCACATTGGTTGCTGCATCTACATTCAGCTGTATTGTCAACGATTCAATTGTTTCATTATTTTTAATGACCTCTAACGAAACAAAATAGAAACAATGTCGTGAAAGGTTCGATATCATGTATTTTTTCCTTTTCAGCTGAAAAAAAAGATGTCAACTGAGGTTTCAATCCAAGCATCTTTGGAATCGAGAGCGGAGAGCTTACCACTGTGCTAATCTCTCATTTTCTCATTACATTTAAATCAATTATCAGTGAGACAGAAATAATACATGACAAATGCTTTTAGGTTTGGGATTTACGTAATTTAAACATACTTTATTTCCGTTTGAGAAATCCTGCCAGATCTCTTGATTACGCATTTTCATAGCAAAAGGTAACACAGCTGAATGTAGATGCAGCAACCCATGTGAAGACTTTTATTACCATTTTGATGTTTGTCCTCTATACATTAATAATCGAAATATATTAATAAGACAGTTACAACCTCTCTTTGAGAATTTAATTAGATTTACTCATATATGGCGATAAGAAATTAAGCAAAGATGATGATATCTCTTAATTGCAAAAATAGTAAAATAGGGATTTCATTGAATTTGACTCTCTCTCTATCTCTGTCACTCTCAATTTGTTCGAAAATGGATACATACCGACTTTCTTCCACTGTCCTAGAAGTCTATTTGTATTAGCTGAAAACAGGTACCTGTCATGATCGCCTATTTCTCGACGTTATATCAAACATGTCTATATAGACCAATCTGAATTATATAACCTTGACGTTCATAATAAGGGGCCCTAGATCATACATTATACCGACAGGATGCAATTTACAACAATTGATAAAAAGTTAAATAAACGAATTAAAGACTGAACTTTTTGTAATCAAGCATTTTCATATAGATAAACTTTATGCACAGACAACAACGGAAATTCATTCATAAATACTTTGAAATAAAGACACGGTTAACGCGTACTCACAAGAAAACGGAACAGTGTACAAAACCTCAGTATACCATACCGCATATGGCACGATCGCATTAATAGAAGCGATTAGAAATGGGCACAAGCGGAACACTCTTTTAGGGAGCTTTGGTCATGTGACAACCCATGCTTGACAGGAAAATCACACCTGGCTTCTTCTTGCAGACGTGTTTAACACGCTCTTGTATTCTGTATATATACAACAGGACAAATCTTAATCGCGGTGTTTCAAATCTATTCATTTCAAATGCACTCATTTCAGAATAACAATGAAATCAGACGGTGAATTAATGTCGGGCATTGTATTTTGTAAATTGTGGTGATGAATTTCGATCTTCACCTCCGTTTAACTGATTTTATTCAATTGTTTTTACATGCTATCGTTAGGTATCACGGGATAGGTAACGTATATAGAACGTATGTGAAAGAGATCCGTAACACCAGAGAATAATAGCTTCAAAATCTCACCATATTTCAGTATTTTCGGGGAAATATTGCTACGTAGTTGGTTATTTTAAACATGAATACCTCCTAACAGTTTGATTTTATTCGTTGAATTGAATTTTAAGTGAAACAGCACCATGTATGCAAATGACCCTAAAACCACATAGACGACGTCATGACACCAATATAAGAAATGCACCAAAGGGAGGATGGTGGGCGTGTCTTTGCTTTTCAAAAAAAAAAAAAATTAAACGTCACTATGTCGAAATTTGACAACATATTTAAATGAGTTATTTAAATATGCAAATTGGATTTCTCCGATATTTTCGATTTACGCTTGAACACGATCTACTTATTATGTAAGTAATCAACAGGGACTAGATGAATTCCATTTTAATTTGCTGGTGATTAGAATATCGAGAAACGCGGACTTAACTATTACCTTTTCACTTTTTTCAAGCTTTTATCATCGCAAACGTAGTAAAATGTTACAATGAACTTGTTTTTTGTCATTGAATGATATATGACTAACCAGTAATCATTGTTTGATTCCAAGATGAGCCTTTGTATTATACATTAATCATAGACAATGTGAAACACATACTGCTGGTGTCATATTACAGTGTAAAACAGGTTATCTGTCGTATGACATTTAATGTACACTTACAGAAAAAAAACTAACGAATAGATACTTTGTTTCCTGAAAAAAGATCAGACTTGTGTATTGTGTATTATTTGGGTGATTTTTAGTGTAAGGGTAGGGGTGCAGTGCTTGTTGATACGGAGATATTTGAATTTTTGGTATTTTAGCATAAACAGTCATTGATGTACTGAACACATCATTCTCATCTTTGTTTTTCTTGACACATGTTTTGCGTTTTACACAAACACAAACACAAAATATGTTCAATAGATTGGAGTAAACTACATACTTAATAAGATTCCTAAATTTTCACTCTGTCATATGTAACGCAACGATAGCACAGTGGTA